CCAAAACGCCCCAAAGCAACAGCAGACTACCAACTCACATACTTATGTGCTGTCTGAAATCAAATATGGAACCCTGAACTGGAAACAAACACACCCACGGGGGGGGGGGGGGGGTTTTCAACATAGGAATCGGTGCACTCCAACATGTTTCCCTTTAGACACCAACCAAAATAGAGGTTGTTTCGTTTGTGGTTTCCCTTCAGATACCAACCATCTGGGAACGCTTTTCCACGAATCCAATTTTGAGAAACCAAATGACTCGCCTGAAGGTGTCGCCGATGCGGTCCACGAAGTACCACAAGCCCTTGGCGTCCTGTCGAAATCGCAAGGGAAGAAGGCTTGCATTTGCGCCATCCTGCAGAATATGCGAACAGTGGATGGACAAGAACCCTGGAGTGATTCGGTTCCCCTGTAAATACCAACAAGCAGGCTTCAACCATGGCTTCAAAAAGGTGCAGGAATCTGTCCATCGACTGTATCTCCATTGACTTCGACTCCCTTGAGAAAACGAATCGGCTTCCTGAGAATGCTGGGCCATCACCATCCAGGGGAGAGGCAGTCAGACAACACACACCCTCAATATGGTTGGTTTGGGTTTTACAGTAGAACAGCCGCTGCACCCAAAAGCAATGAAATGAGAAACCCTCAAATGCAAAAAAACACACAAAAAAAGGACCCAGGCAGTGCAAGTGTTGTTCAACTCTGGGTGAACTAGGGATCATTTTCTCACTCGACATGAGTGACCCGATTTTCCCTCGTTGATTTGTCTACCGGGTCAACTATTGTTTATTCACCATGCAAAAGAGATGATGCACAGCTTGTTACCAGCATGCCCGCAACTTGTGTATAAATGCTCCAGTGCTTCCAGTGCCCGTAGTAGCTCAACTTGCAAAGACCAATGCGAATGTAAATTGCTTTAAACAAGTATAGAAACCCAAAGGTTTTTCATATTGCCATGCAACGGTATGAACAAATGACTCCTGGACCTACCACTTGCCCACTTCACCCACGCCTTGCTCAAAAGGTCTCCAGATCTGAACCAGGAGTCGCCCTTCACGAAGACGTCACGCAGGATCTGCAAACGAAACTCAGTATCTACCCTTCTCTCCGTGGAATCTGACGGAGGGGTCCCAGAAGCCAAAGGGTGGCTTCCATGGCAACGTGGCCAGGAGGGTAGCTGGGTAGCTGGCGGGTGATTGGGGACCTCCAGTTTGCTCCTTTGCTCTTTGTCAAGCGGGAGGGTCATCCATGTGCTCCTTTGCGCTCCATCCGTTGAACCTAGGGTTTCGGGTTTAGGGTGGTTAGCCTCGTTTTGGTGTCCCTTCAAAAGCTCCAAGCGCAAAGGACCCGAGGCTCAAGGAAACAAAGGGCGAAGCCATCGCTTAGCCATGGCTGAGGAAGGCCATCTGGCAATAGACAAAGCCAACCAAAAACCGCCAGCCTTGAAAGACGCCAATAACAGCAGTTTGAGGGAAGGAGAGTTCCAGAGACATGCTCTGAAGCCCTCCCCCCTGAAAGGCTGGGTTGGCCAAACTGACCCTCTGCAAGCGAATAATTGCTACTCCAAACTACAAAACGCTCTACAAGAGGGTTTCTGCATCGCCAGGTCCTCAGTCAAAAGGTAAGCCCAAACCATCCTTCTTTGAGAAGAACTAACCCCCCCCTTTTCCCAAGGGTTCTGAAATGGGTGTATCTGTTTTCAGGCTACCCTTTGGCGGTTGGTTTTTTCCCGGGTAACTAAAAAAAAAAAAACATTGTGAGGAGGGTCCCTATTCTGAGACAAACCCTGAATCCTGAGAATGGCACGCATGCGGAGCACTCATATTTCTCGCGCCTGTGCCCGCCTCTCGAGCACGAGAGCACGTGTTCGCCAGGAGCAACATTGGCGTGCCCAAAAGAAACTGGACCACCCTAAGATGATCCTTTTGTTCCCTTTTGTCTTGGCCAAATACACCATGTTCTGATTTGTGTGGTGTCTAAAACGGGAAAATGAAGGAAGCTCAAAGGGCAAAATGGTCAGTTGAGTCTGGCAATGGCTTTAAGCAGGCGAGGATAACCCCACATGTCTCTGCGTCGCCTCCGGATCTCTTTCAAAACTAGCCCTTTTCAAGCACGGGTCAACTTGTGAGCCGAACCGAGGGTTTCTCACGTATATGCACCAAAACAGAACCACCCAAATAACAGCAGGCAGTAGTCGCCCGAAGCTGCAGGACGCATTCTGAGCGGTATCCTTCTGCAAAACCAAAGGATCACATGCAAATCAACCCATACAATACAATCTGATTAAACCAGTTTTCGGCCCCATTTGGCTATGAAGTTTAATAGGACGGCCCCTCAACAGTGGTTGGCGGACATAAATCCCCAGCGAATTTTGATGTCCGCCAAAGTGTCCCAAGTTCAGATTCATACCCATGTCATCACCACACAACTCGGCTATTCGGACACAGCCAATCGCCGGTTGCACGCCCGGTGCCGGCGGAGGTTCACCGCGCTGAAGCATTCACCTCGGGGCTGTGGCTGGAGCGGATGATCACCCCACCTGAAGTGAGTCATAATGATAAATGTTGTAGTATTATCAAATGAATGAATTAAGTGTAGAGCATGTTTATATTGAGTTAACTAAGGAATGCCAATGCGGGGGAAAAAATAAGAAGGAAAAAAAGAGCAATTAGCTGCAGGTCTAAGTGGGATTGCATGTATAGGCGACTGGGGACATTAACCACTTCAGGTCAGAAATCGTGAGGGTTGCTCCGAAGACCCCATCACAAGTCACACTCCCCTTGGCAGGCCCCCCCAAACCAAACAAACACACACTTAAACTCCAAATGGAGAGTGCTAATCTTTCGAGTACAACAGATGAGTCTCGAGTACAACTGATGAGTCTCGAGTACAACTGGATCGGCTGGCAGGTCACTTGGCTTCACTCTAGCTACTTCAACAGGGAGACAGAGAAGCAACAGCGGTTCAGGGGAGGGACCAAAAGGACATTTCTCATCACTGCAGGTACGTGGATTCTGCGTCCAGAATCCATATCAGCACTGATGGAAGCCTCTTCGTTGGGCCGTCACTTCCATGCAGTGGACAGCCCCCCTGCTCCCAAAAACGGCACATGGTGGTGACAGGGTATTCTGTCACTCCGCACACACACGCCCCTCAATGAGGGGCGAGAAGTCTCTTTTTCTGCAGGAAGATCACATGCTCAACTTCGTATCCCTATCGTTGACCAATGTCAAGAGACGGCAAGGTGACGTCCCGTGGGACGCTGTCCACCGAACCCTCCAGCTGTAATACCAACCACGTAGAAAGGTGTATACGGTCAAACCGTTATAGCCGAACCCGTGTAAATGTTGTAAGGGAGAAGGAATAATAGTTACAACAGTGGTCCTGACAAATGCAGCGCAAGCGAAGTGTTTTCCGCTCTCAATTGCCGATCACGTATGAACGCAGCTTCACATAAGATCTTGAACCTCACTTGTGACTTGAGCCAAATGGCAATCAATGGAACCTTGTAAGCAACACAAACACGGACCTCAGAACTGCTTCCCAATTTAGGCACGGGGCCAGGAGGGTTTTAACATCCCCCATTTGGGTCGCATTGTTCATCATGCGGTCCAAACACCACAAAACGTTCCACTGGCCACGGCTTCAGCTACGAAATTGTGTCGTGCACTCTTTCACTCGCTATCGCTACACCGTTCATTCATTGTGAAACCTGCCGGGTTCGATTGAAAATGAAACATGCATCCGCAAATCGTAGCACATTCTCATACGCAGGTGTAATGTATACACTATCCTCACGTCATTTTACAACCATTGAACATTCTAGCTGCCGCATTTGCGCATCGCGCAGCCGTCATCCACAGAAATGGGTTGGCCATAGAAGTTCAACAGAGGCGCCTGATCGTAAGCGATCTGCATATCACCGGCAAAGAAATATCGGTGAGCAACCAATGCAAAACATAGCCATTCCAGGTACCATGAATAATATATAATGAAAAGGAAATCATCCATGAGGTAATAGTTCCATCCATGAATATCCGGAATGTCATAGCCGTCGGAATATGTAAATGTATACACATCCATTCATCTTGGACGCATGAAATCATATCATGATGTAGAGTCGTTCCATCGCAACGACGTTGATGAGACGCAAGCAACGGATGGGGACTAGCCCACATCGTGCCGCAATCAACATCTGCATTACGCATACCTGTCTCCAATGGACAGTCTGTGGGTACGTCGACGGAACTCTTCGTCCAAATTCTTTTGGGCTTCTCGCGCCCGGACACACTTCTTGTGATGATCTTCTGGTATCCAATGCCCCATTCAGAGGCACCAATCCAGCAGAGGTGTGTCGCATTTATTCGGGTCAGTGGCCGCAATAATGGCGCTCACATTTACCGAATAACCATATTTGCCAAGGTTCAAGCCATCCCTTACGAACGATATATACTTACAGTTGAAAGCCAGGGAGAAGCATCTGTAAATAATATCACCCACCGGGTGCACGCGATCCTTGACCAGGAGCTTCATTTCGTCCTTGGTGACGTCGAGGATTCTCGCTGCAATCCACAGCTTGTAGAATATGTATAGCCCCTCGCACTTGCATACCATCAGACGAATGTATTCATCACGCTCCTCAGCCGACCGGAAGGCCCTTGTTCGAACATTCTGAGATTGAGAAATCTTCAGTACCGTCGATGGCAAAAGGATCCCTTCCTGATCGTGCTCAGTCATGTTGGGGTACTTCGTGAAGTCGTTGTGGTATGGGCAGCCTGGCTTCCCTTCGAGCGCGGCATCGACCGTTCTCTTTTCACCACCTTCGAACATCCCCCACATCTTTGACATCTGCAGTGCGATGAATCCCGCCATGTATTGAGCTTCGCGCGGCTCATCAAGGCAAATCGCCATCCGCTGGGTATTTATGATATCCCGCGATGCCAAGTCATTGTCGCGGTATTGCCAACCGCCATCTTCCTCCTCAGACATGTAGCCGGACGTGTATCCTTGCGCGTCCATGTCGTCTTCTTCAGGAACGTCCTCCGCCTCATCATCCTCTTCCTGTGCTGCCGCATCATGGTTGGCTTCGTCTTGCGCGCGCCTGGCATCACCCGAGACATTGGGCCTTTGGTTGTCCTCGTCGTCGTCGGAACTGATGTGGATGTAGAATCTCCCGGTAGAGATCAATTGCGCTCCACATTCCAGGCACACACAGAAGCATGTGGGAATCGCGGTCGCACATGACGGACATATCCGGCACCTCAGTCCTTCCCATGTCTCGTCATTCAGGATGACGACTTTGCTGATCTCGTCCCTGACCTCGTTGGTCTGCGCATCAAACTCCTCCATCTTGTTTTCCCGAAGCAGTTCGCATGCGCGATCAACCATGTCTTTGATGTAGTGCAGATTGTCGGCACCTGCCTCGGTCTCTGGCATCCTCTCGTTGATCTTCGCGACGTTCTGGAGGAACATCGCAGCCGATTCCTGGGAGGAGTTGACGAAACCCGGACAGATCTCGTTTTCCACACATTTTGAGTACGCTCGCTTGATGTCCCCGTACTCCAGGCGTTTCCCTCCTTTGCTTTTGCCAATCCAAATGGACTTGACCTCATAGAACGGGATCACGTCAAAGACCATAAATGTACCATTTGCCGCGACTCCAGCTCCATACCGCGCGAGGGTTGCACTGGGAATGTAGATGATCGCAATCGGATCCCCCGACCTTACGTTTCGTAGCGTCACCTTCGTTGCTACGTTCATCTCATCCCATGGAGCAAATGCCCGAAGTGCAATGCTAGCCTGTTTCCGCCATCGATCCCGCCGGGGACTAGCCCACAGCGTACGATGCTTGGCAGGTTCTCCACATACGTCACATGGAATGCTCCTCCGAGAGAATCACCCATTCTTGCGGAATACCTATTTGCCAGTGCGGATGAGCTCATGAATCCAAAATCACTGTGACCAGTTGTGACTCGGATGCACCAAGGCCTGTACCATCCATCGCATCTGTTGAACATCCTGTCGATGTCATCCCGATCCAGGCCAGCATTGTTCATCTCCTCCCTGGCCGCCTTCATATCATTCGGGTTCATGACGCTTGGAAACCTTGCTGCCAGGACCTGAAATCTCGATTTCTTTTGTCCGGACTCCTGCCACTTGATCACTTCCATGATGCCCATGTATCGTTTTGCTCTCGAGTTGAAGGTGGGAATATGTCGTTATTTCGGTCGTCAATGACTGCGTCGATGTCGACCCATCCACCTTCATCGCATCTGAAAACACTTCCTCGGCAATTGCCGATTTTGTGCCGAAGGACTCTGCATAGGTTGTGAGATAGCTGGTTTGCTTGATCTTTCGTAGCAAATACCGAGCGATCGTCGCCAATCTTGCATAGTGGAGCACCGTCAAAAGGAGCAACGCAGAAATTGACGCTCTTGCCAAGCTGCATCACATCCACCTGCTCAAGGTTGGCACCCTTGGGAAAGTACTTGGGGTCAACAATAGACGCGTACGCCCATGGCATATGCACATCACTCACGTCGCCGTACTTCGGGATGTAGCATGGGATGGTGTCACATCCTCGCTCTAGCGTCGTCTTGAACGTTCTGTTGTCCCCGCACGGATTGTAGGTGAGGTCCACGCCACCGCATTGTAGCTCTCCTCCCTCAGCCGTGTCAGCCATCTCCACCAGGTTGATGGTATAGCTATACATGTCTATTGTTTCTTTCCCTTCTTGTCCTCCTTTCTTGCGTCCCTTGGATGTTGATGAGGACGGCTCCTCCGTATCCCCCCATTTCTTCATCCGAGGAAACATGATCGTTGCTGAGAAGCTCACGGATCTTCTTCATCGCCTTCTCATTCCCAGCAGCCTCCTCATAGTTCTTGCAGTCGCCGTCGTGGGCCAGGTTCGCGCATCTCATGCAAATTCCCATTTCTCCCATGCACTTTTCCATTGAGACTAGGAATCCGAGTGCCGCTCTCCGCCCATCAATCACTCGCTGCTTCTTCTCTTCTTTCTCAACGTTGGGCTGAGAGCTTCGGCTCGGGTCTGGTACTTGACCAAGACCGTCACCTTCGCTCCCTGTTGCCTTCCTCTTGGATCCTTGGGTGGTATGCTCGGTCGTCAGGGATCGCGGATGTCTGGGCTTCATCTTGTTCATGATGTCTAGCACTTCTTTCGTGGGCGCCCCGAGCTGGGCGGATGGTTTATTCCGCTTTCGGTTCTGGCCCGTCGTGTGGCTCACGTTCCCGGCGAGGCGTCGTACGATTGAATGCTCAAACTCCCTCTTGATCTTCCATACATCTTTCCACAGCGGAAGTTCGTGCTGAAAGTACGACATCACCTCAAAGAATCCCAATATCATCTCGACGACGTCTCCCAAGGACTCCTCATTCGTAGTCTGTCCCAGGAGGTCATACATCGTCCCCTGCTCGAGCACGCTCTTGATCCAGGATGAATAGGCCACGTTGCCAAGATCTCTGTCTATCACAAAGATGGAG